CCCCAAAACCCCAAAACCCCAAAACCCCAAAACCCCAGCCTGTCTGGGCACTTTTGAGATTTAATTTAGAAATGGATATTGGAGGGTGATTAAGGAGGAGAGGTAGGGGAGATGGATGTGGGGTTTTAGGTATGGGATCAGGAAGTTGGAGAGGGGCCAAGGGTATGATTCTGTTACGGTTATTTGGTACTCAACAGCGTTCTGCTTTTGATCTTGGCGTTTTAGCGTGAGAAATGTATTAATTAGCTGATTTTCTTAGAAAATGAGAAATTTGAAATTTTAGGATCGATAGTCAGAAATATGTTAAGAAAACTAAGAATTATGAGCTTGAATATAAAATTTTAATCATCCAGAATCATTTCCCTTAGCCTGAAAGTAATTATTCTTACTTTTCTAATAATTTCTTTCCACCTACCATCAAATTCCATCAACTTCTGAGACCATCAGCTCACCCATCCAAATTCCCAATATTCTACCCAAAACACAACGCTGTTCTATTCCCTCTACCTCTATTTACCGAATCCCAGGTCCTAATTCCCCTACCCTTACTTCCCAAACCCTGCCTCTTGACTCCTTGTTCCCAAAGCCCAATGTTTCCCAGTCACAAAACCTCACAACCGAACAGACCAGGTGACTAGAGCCCGCAAGCTTGGGCTCACGGCTAAAATTCTTAGTACAACTCAGCCAGATGTGACCGGGAGCGTAGCACAGGGACTGATTTTTGGTAATGGAACTGTGGCTCAAGGAAAGCTAGAGTGGGAATTTTGGAAGGAGATTTGGTAGGTCAGCTGTAGGGTTGGCTATACGAGGGGTTGATAGAGGAGAAGAGTGTAATTGGAGGGTTTATAGAGGATTTTAGTTATGATTTTTGAGGGTTTTGGGTTGAATTTTTTGACTTTTGTCTGGCCTCCTCGAAGAGTTTGGCAATGTTGGGAGCTATAGGTCATGGAGAGTTTGTTACTGCCGCGAGAAGGGACCATTTTAATTTCTGTAAGATCAGAGTCAATTTGGTGAGTATTTTTAGTTCTTTGTTCTAGGATAATTCAAATGATGACCTACGTGGAACCTCTTGGATTGGCTGCACTCGGCTCATACTTGTGCTAGATTTCTTCTTGGCTCATTTTTGGCATCATGAAATTAGCAAAGCGCCTATAGAGCTTGAGACACAATGCTTACCGATCATTATGAAGGTGATGACCAATGAGTTTGCAAGGATTATGTAGCAGAATATGCTCGTGACTGTACTTGACCACTCGTCTACTTTATCACATACAATCATTATCGACAGCAGACTGGTGTAGATTATTTCGTTGACGATTTCGATCATATTGTTCTCTGGTCGATCGAAGGGTCTGAGGATGACTAAGCTCAGAACGAACAATATCTGAACGGTCATCATGCCAGCTGTTAAATACACACACTCGAGCCATGTGAATGTGAGTAGCCAGATCACTAATATGGTTCTCCTCATTAAGCCCAAGAAAGGGTAGATCCTTGCATATCTGGTATTCTTGAGACCAGTGATGAACTCATTGAATTTGTAATACTTGTCAGGATCATGAAAGTCTCTCTTCGAGTAGAAGATATAAAAAGAAAGAGCAATAGTTCCAACTCAGACAGCTAAGATTAACACTGAAAACACCATCGATATGATGTTGGGGATACTTGCTAGCTCAAATTTGATCACTTCTGATATACAACAAATGAGCAGCAGCTGAAACCCTCCGAGTATGAGCCTGATGTAGATTGTGAAGTTGAACAAGTCAATCACCAATATAATCAGGTAGTTTAGACTGCATTTCTTTTCATTTCTATAGTCTACTCAGAGCTTCAATATCATCACTAAAGGATACAGAGCCAGCATCAAGAACATACACAATGCAAACCCGAAGTTGTTGAGCAGACTTGTGCTTGATTCGACTCCGATTGTTTCAAGATAGGCATTATCTTGATCGATCTTGAGCCAGTCCATGACTTCAGGCATCTTCGGCAAGGCTCTGACTGGCAATACATCCAAGTTAAACTGCATTAGTTCATTTCCAAGAATCAAAGCTTTGACATCACCAGGAAATGGAGTCTTGGTCAGCAACAATAGTAAAAATAATTGCAATTGATTTACAATGGACCAGATGGCTGCTAGAGATGACAAGTTAAGCAGAGACACTCCTATTGTTGCACCAGCACTGACTCCTGAAACTGCTTGTGATCCAGATGATATTTGCTGAGCGCTTTCTGAAACTTCAAAGATTGCGTATGAGTATCAAGTAGTGGGATTTTTAAGCTCGTAGGGATCTTCACATGTCTGTCATTTGTCATAGTCAGATGGATCTCATTCTTTGCAATGCTCAATTTCTCACATCCTTCACACGCTTGGACCTATATAATATGGTATTTATTTGAGTTGTTGTAAAATGTTACCTGTGGAAGTCTGGTCTACACACATAGACTTGTCTTCAATTGTTCAGTTGGAACTGCATCCATCCCCACTAAACTATGAGCTAGCACTTACTCTACAAGATTGTTGTCATCTCAAGCTTCAGAGTCGAACCTGAGTCCGTCTCCACATATAGGCTCTCAAACGCTTGCAGCAAGGTTGGTTGAAATGCAAGTATGGCCTGTTTCTACAGCACAATTGCTATCACATCCATCACCATTAACAAGGTTTCCGTCATCACAGTAAATGGTGAGGTCATCACTTTCAAGCAAGATGCCATTACCACATATTCTTGAGCACTGAGTTGTGGTTCCTTGGCCAGTTCAAGTGAAATCTATTTCAAATGTTCAGTCAACAGCTCAACCATCACCTGCAATAAAGTTTTCATCGTCACATTGCTCTGAGCCCACTTGTATACCATCTCCACAGAAAGCCTCTCAAGTTTGGTTATCTATTCCGTAACACTGGTATCCTGATTCTATAGCTCAGTCATAGCTACATCCGTCTCCATCAGCTGTATTCCCATCATCACAAGACTCACTGGGAGAGTAGAATCCATCTCCACAGACAGCAGAAAATCATGAACTGGGATTATTATTATCTCAGCTAAAGGAGAGTCCTAGGAAGCAGTTTTCATCGCAACTAACACTATTATTGTTCACACTATTGTCTCCTGTGTTTCCTCCATGATCTCACTCCTCAAGAGCTTGGGTGTGCTTGGTTCCATCCCCTCATATGAATCCATATGCTAAAGTTAAAAGGTGAGCAGACTTACGGTTATATATTTGTGGAGTAATCTCCACTGTGTAGTCCACAGTGTTACTTATCTTAAAACTATGAAGAATGAACTCCATTGAGTTGCAAATAAAATGTCATCCTATGTAATAAGGACTGTTATAATATGATAATGAACTGGGATTGCCAAAATTATGTCCGTTAAGGAAATGGTATTCGCTACTTCTGAGTAATCCAGACTCCATAGTCATTGCTATTCTGTTCCATCCTCCTAGATTATGTGTTTAAATCACTTTCTTACTTTTTACTTGTGTGCCCATTAATACACCTTCACTTCCAAAGATGGTAAGCAGTCTTTGTGTGCCTACATTTGTCTGGTTAGGTACATAAAAGGATGGTAGGATGTGATCAATGGATATCAACCAGCTATGATTAGGATAATTCAGCTATAAATTTCTAGGCTTGGTAAGACTTGAGTATATATACTATTACTAAATATTTAGACATCACTAGCAGATTCACTTAGCATTTGAATATGACAGTCAGATGTTTAAGTCTCTCTACCAATATGGCCAGAGGTCATAGAGATAGATTCATGTAATTACAGGTCAAACTCATATAAATTCTGAAATTTTGACTAAAATTTAGCAAACTTAGTAGTAAAACACTTTAATTTTTCTATGAGTGAGAAAAATATTTCATAATTTATCATTTAAGGCAAGATAGAGTCAACCTGAAGCCAGATTCATTGTTATTCTCATCCTATCAAAATTGATTAGAAGTGCTCTTGAGTCTCCTTGAAAGAGAGGGATAAGTTACATATTGTGCATCTCAGGCAAAATTTTAAGAAACTTGAGCTTCATTGTTGAATTTCAAAGATTTTTACTGAAGTATTCAATAAATTTTAATGGTCCCAGAGCCCATTCAGGATGATTTCTACTTCATTTATGAGGCTTAGGCTTCATTTTAGAATTTTAGTGAAATCACTATGAGGGTATAAATTTTAAGGTTTATCTAAATTAAAAATGTTCAAGAATAATGTTTTTGAACATTTTAATTTAGTTAAACTTCTAACACTTTTATACATTAATATAGTCATTAATGCTAATGCTCTGATTCATCAAATGAACCTGGAGGTATAAAATAGAAATCCAAAGTTTTATGTAAGGTATATGCTAGGCTTAACACTGTGATAAAAATCATCCAAAAGTTAAGTTTCATCTTAAAGTAACTTTTCGACTCTCTATCATTCAGAGGAGCTGAGATAATCTTGTTGTAGTGACATAGCAGGGGTTTTAATCATTTTTCAGGACTTACTATACCCGAATACAAAATATACGCGCTGAACAACAGGACTTGAACCTGCCTATAATTTACTGTGAAGACTTACTACAATTTGTGTGACATTCATATTGACAAAAATAGCTATGCCTAGCTTTCTCACAAAGATCCAAGATTCTATAGAGCAGAAGTCTTCATATTCGAATAATGGTCCAGCAATATCCAAGTGTCTAAAGAGGCTAGAAAAAACTTACTCATCCAACTGAGCAAATTGCACTCCTTGATCAATTATCTTTGGGCGATTCGACAAATCCTCTATAGAAGAAAATGTTAGAATTTGAATCGCTTTGTGAACAAAAATAGATATAATGACGCTTTATGCAGCACAGAATGAAAAATCTTAGCCTTTCATTCTCAAGTTTAAATGAACAATTTTTAGCAAGTAAATCAAGACAGGCTGTAAGTAAGAAAATTGATTAATACCTAGGCTAGTTTGACTAAAGAGTAGACTGCATCATATTTCAATCGTTATTTTATGATTATACCCTCTAATACATCCTTCAGCTATCAAATAAATCCAAAAAGGCTGCATGATGCATCTCTCTGCTCCCAAATCCCTCCTAATCCTCATCTATCTTAGCCTAGAGACCCTACTTCCCAGTTCCTAACCCAAGAGCGACGGAAGCGATAGGTTGCACTAGACTTGGACTCTACTGCTTGGCTGGGCAAAAAGTCCATTCCTTTAAAATCAGGTATTTCACCATACAATTTCTTAAATTTTAAGCCACGTTGCAGGACTAGAAGATGGAAATAAAAGAAATAGAACAAATTTGGGAAGTAGAATGGGCATTTTACCTGGGAAATCGAACGTGAGAACTCCTGTTTCACCTTCTTGGTTCTGGACCTGTGTTGTGGACTTGCTAGAGGGTTGGAAATAGACGTACGGTAGGTTAGTGAATTGGTAGGTTAAAGTTCTGTTATGTTATGGGAGTGGGAACTTACTTGGCAGTGAAGCAGAAACATATCTGTAGCAACCAGAGCATAATTGTGATGTGGTAAAGGGACGGTTTTAATAGCATCTATATCTTTGTTATTTATTGCCCAATACTATCTCAGCAAAGGAAAGACCTAATGTTATCCGAAAAAGATCTAGATTTCAGCTCCTAATTTTGCTAGGGATATCTATCACACAGACTCTAATCTTTTGAGAGTGAATAGAGTAAAGATGCTATGAATAGGCAGGATTGCAATTTTTCACCGATTTACCTCCAAATTGAATGAGAATTAGAATCCTCGAATAAAAATTTCTTTATTTTTAAATTTTAGAGCAATGACGAGGAGTTAGCAACAAAGTTTGATTTTCTTAGTCATAAAATGTCAGAAATTGAGTATGCTCTTGCTCTTGTCTGATAACTCTAGTTAAAATATGACAGCGGGGTATAAGCTAGGATTAATAATTGACAAATCTGAGATCTAACGGCTGAAACTGCATTAATGTTATTAAGCCACAATAACTGTGGTTACAACTTCTATTATAGCACCACCTTTGCTGACACACTAATAGAAATCTTGCTATATGAATGATTCGGAGTTGATAATCTATCGATTCCTTTGTTACTTGCACTTTTCATAAATTAATCAACCCCATCCATGCTTTTGTTAAAGTTTCAGCAACTCTCAGTCTAGGTAGTGTACAAATTTTGGTATAATCATGATTAAAACCGAGAAAGTTTAGATGGAACTAAAGTTATGACATTAATTTTGGTGCAGCCATCTTAAACCACGTTAACTTTATCAAAAATCCCTGAAACAGGGTAACAGCAGCTGGTGGGATTACTTCCGGTGGTAAATCAGCTAAATTCCCTCTTTTTGAGCTAAACCTTTGTCTACAAAGCCAGAGCTAGTCTCTGCTTGCTAAACCCAAATGTGTTTTCATATTTACCTTTCTTTTTATTATTTCAATGTTAATTCGAATAGCCGGGGTTTTGGGGTTTTGGGGTTTTGGGGTTTTGGGG